CAACTAATATTTACATATAAATATAATATTTCTATAATTATTTACTCAAAGATATGATCATACTATAATATTCAATTATTTCTGCTGCGAATTCATGTACAAGTTGAACAGCAAGAAATCGTTTTGGTTCATCACATGTTGTCCACATTTTAATAAAACCCCAAGTTTGATTATCGATTATAGCTCTTCGATTTGATTGAAATTTAAATATATAAATAAGAACATCGTTAGTTAATTTTGGTATTTCACCAACACTAGCAACTGCTGGAATAACATTAATAACAAAAGGTATAGCTGGATTATTTGCAGTATATAATTTTCTATTATTTTCATTTATATCGGATTCTATTTTACATATTGCATTAGCAGCTAAATGACCTTGACGTATAGCACAAGGTACCTGATGTTTAAAAAATAAAAAAAATTCTTTTCTTTAAATTCTTTACTTACCCAAGACCAACAAGATGATACTATTCCACCACATGCATATATTGTTGGTATAGATGTTTGACATGTTTGTTCATTAATTATAATAGTTGATCGTTCATAATCAATAGCAATACCGAGTTTTTCTAAGTTTTCATAATTAAACGTTGGTTTTCGACCAGTACATACAACAACATAACTAGCGGAAACAGTTCGGTTCGTATTTGTTGGTCGTAATTGTACAATTACTTTGCCATTTGATACTTGTTCAATATTCGCATTTAAAATAATTTCTACCCCAATTTCTTTAAGGCGTGTTTCAACAGCAATCGATACTTGTTCATCCATAAATTTAAGTAATCTGGAATTTTTTTCTATTAAAATAATATTTGAATTTAGATGACCATAGAGAGAAGCAAGTTCACAACCTAATACACCCTATTTTTTTTAAATATAGAAATAATAAATCTCATTATTGTTTTTTTCTAAATATAATTACTCCGCCAATAATAATCAATGATTCAGGTATGTTTCGATGCCATAGAAGTTGAGTTGGATCTACTGTTCTTTTATCATTTATTTCAACAAATTTTGGTAATTCATATTCAACACCAGATGCGACCTGGCAACAAAAAAGAAAAGAGAGAAAATTTTGAAATTAGATTCAATAAAATTTACAATTATATGTTGACCGGTAATTTCAATTTCCGTTCTTATCGGTATCGAAGAATCATCAGATTCATAAGGACTTCGACCATCAGTATCATACACATTAGCATATGTATATTTTTGAATTGGCTTTATTATGATATGATTCTTATCAATAATACTAGCAGTACCAATATATACTTGAATATGATATCTTAAATGAAATAGAATAAATATTTATCGAATTATAACAAAGAAAAACAAGAAACTTGTTTAGAAAAAATTTAATCTGAGAACGAATTTTTTTTACAGCTTCATCACGATGACGAGTAATATGTGAAAAATCAATACGATGTGATGTTATATTAATACCATATCGAGTTGATTCATGTATTGAACGAATTAGACGAGCAGACGTCATCATTGAATTCAATGGAATACAACCCCAATTAACAGCATGACCACCTATAAGATCACGTTCAATTATTGCAACTGATTTACCATATTGTGCACATCGAATAGCACTCGTATAGCCTGATATAAATAACATTGATGATTAATTTCTTTTGCTTAAAATAATAATCATGTACTCATAAATACACATACCTACCTCCTGGTCCTGATCCAATAACAATAACATCAAATTGATACTTTTCAGATTCTACTTCTTGCTTTTGTTCTTCTATTAAATTATCTATAGTTTCATCTTTTTCATTATCAACTGAAATATTTTCCGAAAAAGTAGATGTATTCATTACATCAGTCGTCATTATTAATCGAATAAGATAAATATAATATACATATACAATAAAATAAATAAAATTTCGCGCATCTTTTCTTGTGATATTTTTTATATGTTTAATTTATCGATAAAATAATTCAAAATTCGTATTTATTCTTAGAATTATTTATCATTACATGTACTTACTACATAGCTATGTTGAGTCAATGCTACTGATAAGCACAGAATTTGTACTAGTAAATATACAAGACAAGATAAGGTTGAAAAATCCGTCTTTCTATAAGACGACTACTCATGAATGTATTATATTTTGTGCAAATCAACTTTTTTAAACTGCTGTACTTTTATTCTATAAAAAAGGAATAAACGCGAAAGCGATGCCACATTGACTACAGCAAGACTGTCTTGAATAGTTGATCGAGTGAAATCAAAGAAATAAAAGAAAAAAAAAAGACAAAGATGTGTTGTTCATGTAATAATGTCGGACAAGAATTCGAATTAGTCAAGATCATTGGAGTCTGCTCCACCAGCGCCACCGAAGTCACCACCCATTCCACCTATGAATAAAATATGATATCAAATATATAAAAAGAAAAGAAAATCTTACCTGGAAAGCCTGGAAAACCACCACCCATAGGTCCGCCAGCACCGCCGAATTTCTTAGCAAGTTTTTCCATTACTTTACGTACTTTAGGATTGCTTTGATGAGCAGCTAATTTTGATGGATCTGTGCTGACTTCCTACAAAAAAGAAACATGATCATTGATATATTGATTTACCAACATATATAATACAATCAATTTTACAATGAAATAAATAACTTACTGAGAAAGCTTTTTGAACATCTGGATCTTGTAATGCTTCCAATATTTCTGGATCATTCATGACAGCACCTAAGCCACCTAAATCAGCGCCACCGCCCATTCCTCCCATACCGCCAGCTGCTCCTCCTCCCATTCCTCCCATGCCACCCATGCCGCCCATACCTCCCATTCCTCCCATACCACCCATTCCTCCTAAATAAAAATGTTTGTGAACTATTTAAAATAGCTACTAATTCGATGAAATTACCTGGAAATCCTGGGAATCCTTGGGCTCCAGTAGAGCGTGATTGTTGTTCTCGTGCACGTCGTTCATTTTCTTCAGCTTGTGCTTTAGCATAAGCTTCTTGTGCTTTACGAATACGTTCTTTTTTAGCTTCGAGTTCTTTGGTTTCTCGACGTCGTTCATATTTACGTTTATGATCAGCAACTTTCTTGGCCTAAGAAAAAAAGACATTACAAAATTGAGAAGAAGGAAAAATGAAAATTGAATAATTTACATTCACTTCAACTTCTTTACACCATGTTTGAACATCTTCATCAAAATCAGATATTTGTGCTTTACAAAAATCTTTATAAGCTTCTTCCCAACGACCTAACATGCTTAAAAAGAAGACATTTTATATTAAAATAAAATCTCTATCTATAAGTCTTCTTCTTATTTACCGGTTAGCTTTTCCTCTCCATTTAAGTGCTTGTTGAGAGTTTTCATTGATTTCTATAGCACGATTACAATCACGGATTGCTGCATTTGGTTTTTGAAGTTTGATATAACATTGTGCACGTTTAGCATAAAGAATAGCCGATTGTGGATTATTTTCAATAGCTTGTGTAAATAAAGAAATAGCTTCTTCAAGTGCACCTTCGGAAAGTTTTGCTTGAGCTTCACTTCGTTTAGCATCGGCTTGTTCTGACATAGCATCGGTAACCTATTTGAAATAAACTAATGAATAATGAATATAATTTTTAATTAAAAGTAATACTTCAGCATTGGGATCACCCATTGCTTGTGGTGAATCATTATCTCCTTCAACGACACCAGTTGTATCCAATTCTATATAAATTAAATATAAATAAATAAATAAGCAAAAACTGAAAATAATTATTTACCCAAGTCACTTTCTGGATCACTTTCAACTTTTGGTGTTTCTTCGTGACTTTTCGATGATGAAGTGGCTTCGTTATCAGCATGATGATGGCTTTCTTTTGCTTCTGCCTTTGATTCTGAAGTAGAATGACATTTATCAGTGTGAACATGTGCTCCTAATCTATAGTGATATATATATATATATTGATTATTTAAAATATCGAAATTAAAATATTATTTTACTTTGCAAGCCATTCTCGAAAAAATTCAAGTTCAGGTGCTTGAAGCATCTCAGGTTGAGCCTCGCATAATGTAACAAATTGTCGAAGAAGACGTACATGTTCAGTAGGAATATTTTGAGGCATTGTCGTGTGCTTTTTTTTAAATAGATCTAAAATTCATAAAACGCCATCTATATGAAAAATAAATCAATATCCTTCTCGAAAGAATAGGAAGTCATTGCTTCAAGTATTGGAAAATATCATAAAATCTCAAGATAGAATAATAATAAACTTTATATTCTTATTGTCATTAAATATATATTAAAATAACTCAAGTTCGAAAATCGTTGTTCTGATCTTTTATTACAGCGTATAAATATATATAAAATAGTATCATTAGTACTAGAACATGGAAAGGAAAAAAAGAAAACATTCACATTTTTAATGAATGTCAGATTCATATGACTCATCATAGAGATAGCTACTATTGAGAAGGGCGTCCTCCTTATTTGGATACAATAATGATTTACAAAAAATAAATTATCCAAATCTACAATTATCTATTTTAACATGTTATTTTCTATTTAAATATATACATATATGCCATTTTATGTTCTAAAGATAGATGGCACTCGATAGTTTTGCACATTTATCGAGGGAATAATAAATCAACAATATGTAAGGATTCTTAAAGAAAAACTTTGAATTTAAATTAATACCTATAAATTTTAATTAAAAAATAATCAGTATTATATTATTTGAGAATACGAGTTTTTGCGCATACTTAAGTATAATTTTCTTTTCGCCATTTTTTATTATCGATCTTTAATATCAAACATGAAAAAGCAAATAGATAAAACAATATCATCATCAACTGATCAGATCTCTACATTCAATCATAAATCACCTATTCAACATCAATCTATATCTAAGATAAATAAACATTATAAAGAATTTCAACATGCATTGCATACACTTGAAGTAGCTGCGAAAGAATTGTGGCATTTAGAGCTTGATCATTTATCTAATCATGAGTCAGTATCATCAAAATTATCTAATACTAAATTTGATCCACAAGTTCCATCCATTTATAGTTGCCGAACTATTTTACCAATAAGTAGTGAAACAAACCAGACAAAAAACGAAACATTTTCTAATATCAATTCACCAAATATTGCTCATACTAATTCAATAGTTAGTACTCATAAAATTCTACCAAATCAAATTGATCAATCAAATATTCAATCTGTACCTCATACGCAAAAATCTACCGAAACATTTCGTTCAATCAATAAACAACAAAGTGAATCTGGATCTGGTGACAATTCTATTAAATATTGCACAAAATCAGCAATATTACATTTAAAATTTCGATGTTCAAAACACACACACACATAAACAAAAAGTAATAATATATCAGTTCAACTAACTACAAAAAAATAGTAAATAAAATTAATGTTCATTGAAATTCTTTGATGATCGAGTAGCAGCAGCTTCTAAACAAAAATATGTATTTAAGAAATAATTAATTTAAAAATTCACAAAATCATACCTTCTGAGAGAGGTACTTCTTCTGGTATAGTCTTATCAGCTGTATTTTGTAATGCCCATGGTTGTACTTCACCAGAACCGATTACTAAGAATACGACCATACCAATGATATAGACTGCTGCACAAATAAAAAATACATAACGCCAATTATTTGGATCCTATATAAATATTAGTAAAATACTGTCATATTATAAACATATATGAAATACTAACTTTTTCTGTGAGAGCACCAACAATATATGGACTTATAATACCTGGTAATGTAGCAAATGTATTTGAAATACCAAAAATAATTCCTGCATAAGCTGGAGCAATATCATTTGCTGTAAGCATAAATCCTCCTCCATAACAGCAACCACTGATTCATTAAAAAAGAGATCAATACATAAATCTTAATAAAATTTAAAAATACTTACGTAAAAGTAACACCAATTGTTAATAAAGCTACGGCATAATATTTAATTTTACATGTCATAAATGCTAATCCAATAACAAATAGTGCTGGTAATAAATTTCCTAATACGTTAAATAATTTTCTTATATTTGTTCTTGATAAAGTTTGTTTACGAAGAAGCATATCGGCTAGGAAACCAGATATATTTATATTTAACCAAAATAGAAGATATGGTAAAGATGAAAGTAATCCATTCTATATAATGAATAAAATTATTTTCATGTGAATTCTATGAATATTTTCTTACTGATTTTATATCGAATCTTAATACTTCAGCCATATATTTTGGTATAGATGTAAGAAATGTATATGTACCCCAATTATTACATGTATGAACAATAAAAAGTGCCCAACAAGCACGTGATGTTAAAATAGCTTTCCATGGAGCTTGAAATTCATTTTTACTATGATTTGATAATTGTTGTTGTATTGTATCAAGAATATATTCTTTTTCTTGAACACTAATACAACGTTGATCACGAGGTGAATCAGCATAAAAAAGAATCCAAAATATTCCCCATACTAAACCCATAATGCCTGTAGAATAATAGATTAATGGCCAACCACCAGCAAAACTCCATGAACACATTAGACCACCAATAGATAAAGTCAAAACATTACCAATTTGAGCACCTAATCAAATAAAAAGAAAATAGAAATAATTTTCAATAAATTTCATTTACCAGCATTCATAAAACCAACAAGTTTTCCTCTTTCACTAGGTGGTGCCCAATGTGACATAATTACAGCCATACTAGGCCATATAACTCCATGTGCAAGTCCAACAACTAATCGTAAAAACCAAAGTATTCCCCAATGTATACTTGCACCCCATGGCATCACTACTGAGAAAGCACCAGCAATAATCATTGCTCCACCAAATATAAATCGAGCACCATATCGACCAGCTAAATATCCACCTGGTACTTCGGTAATTAAATATCCCCAAAAATAACCTCCTAAAACAAGACCTTGAACATTCTTCGTCCAAGGATATGGACCTTCCTATAAATATATAAGAAAGAAGAAGAAAAAATAAACATATTAATAAAACAAAGAAAGTTTTTCTTTACAATTTTAATTGTATTATTCAGACGTGGACAATAAATATCAGCTTGTGTTAATGGCATAGCTATAGAATTTTTCCCAATATTAATAGCAGTATGATTGACCATGCAAACAAGAGCAATACCAACACTAATCTTTTGTGAATAATGTGCAATCATACCAAGAAATCCAACAAATGCAACTGCGACACGAATTGAACACAGAAAAGCGACTACACGAACAAAAAGTCATCGTTCAAACTACATGAATATTATATGTCTATTCCCTACCCGATTTCGGTCGTTCAACATCCATTTGCCTCATTTTCTTATGTTTAATCAAAACTTAAAATCAAATACTGATTCGACTTTCTTTCTCTTTTTTTTCTTTTTCGAAAAACAAATATTTACTTGGTACTTCTATTGCAAGGCATATTACATTTTAGTAAATGTCATCAGAATAACACTACTAAGTATTACTCTTTCGTTTTTCTTTTTTTTGACGCGTCGAAATCTATTTGCTTTAATTTCTTATCAATGCCATTTTTTTTTCGTCAGACCGCAAGAACGAAATAATTTTTACATACAGCTATTCTTTATTTCCACATCATACTACAGAAATTATTCACTGTATTATTTTGCGATAAAAGAAAAGCACAAAAAAAAATACGAACGAAAATGTCAATACTTAGAAAAAAAAAACGCAAACAAAATCCATGGAGATAAAATTCTTGATTACTTTAAAGGTACACACAAACAATAGTTAAACACACAAATATATAGAACTATCTGATAACAGAGAAAATAGTGAAGAATCAGACTACTTCTTTTTTTTTAAAAAATTCCAATTTGTAAGATGTATAGTAATACAAAATAGAATGTATCACCGGAACGATTTATAAAAAAAATCATTGTCGTAGAGAGATTGTCTAGTTTTGATCGAATTAAGTGTCGAAAATATTCATTAACATTTTGGCTTGAGAAAAATGTTGAATGTCTACAAAACATGGACCTTCTTCAAATGGTTCTCCATCACATTGACAAGGAAAACGACGTTTGATTGTCAACTAAATAAATAATATGAATTAAAAATATTATTTTAGAAGAATAATAGAAATTACTTTAACGCGACGAGCTTGTCCTATACGATACGGATCAGCAAGACCAACTTGCATCTGAGCTATATGAAATGAACTATAAATTCCAAACACCTCAACAAAACCATCATCAATTCTAAACGATAATTTATTCATAGAATTTAATTATTTAAAGTCTTCTTTTTAATTTACTTTTGAACTGGAATATCTTCTCCTGCACCCCATACACGCACACCTGCACCCCACGATGGAATATTCAATATACAAATGCCTTCTAATGCTGGAAGATTTTCAATAATTCGTCCATCCATTTCAAGCTAAAATAGAATTATAAATCTTTTTTAATCATAAAAATCTACAACAACTTACTATAACATTGTTTTGTAAATCTTTACATTCCTCTATAACAACAAAGATAAATGCATATATATGGCAAAGAAAAGAACATACTCAAAAATGTATCAACTGTTCCATAATGAAAATAATGTAATTTATTAACAAAACGACTTGCAAAAAATTCTGGTATTTTCTCACGGCGACGATGAAAATTTAATGTCACTAATGCATCACAACCAACTGAAAAATAATTCGACATACGCATATTCTAAAAAGAAAATAATTAAATATTTAATAGAAATATATAAGAATATTTAACTAATACATACACGTGCACTAGCTGATGCCACACCAAAATGTCGAGCAGTAGCACTAATATCTACTGACCATCTGAATGAAAGAGAATATTGTAAAGAATTATTAATAAATAGAAATCAAATCTTACCGATCAAGAGCAACAACTTTAGCAGCCATTAATTTCTTTAAATAAATTCCAACATCAACAGCAGAATCTTCTCCATTACCCCATTGTAAAATACGAGCTAAATCATTGCCTGTACCCATTGGAAGAATACCAACAGCAGGTTTTATCTGATAGAAAAATAGTAATTAGTTGTTTTTTAAATAAAAATCTAAATACATACTCCTGATGTTGTGTTTTCAATAGTTTCTAAAATCCAGTTAACAGTTCCATCTCCACCACAAACAAGAATATAAAAGCCAATATCAGGAAGTGAATTACACCATTCAAGGATTGTAACAGGTGTAATTGTTGATATATCAATAACCTAAATAATATATAATCAATTGGTGTACAAAAAAACACTAAATCATAAAAATTAATTTACTTGTACTGAATTTAAATAAGTTCGAAATGAATTTAAGACTAGATCAGTATTAGCTCCACCTGATTTTCGATTACCAATAACCAGCAATGGGCGCCAAGCATGGATATCACATGGTAGAATACGTTCAACAACTGAATGAGCATATCCAACAATTTTTCTATTTCCAGTACGTGAAACAACAGCATTTGGCTAAGACAAAAAAAAGTACATAGATATATATTGAAAAAGTACACTCAAAATATTTACAGGTATAATTATTTGTCGAAATTCACCTAGATCACATTCTGTTGGTAATGCTCTCATACATGAATCGTGTACAATACGTTGACACCATATACATCGATAATCACATAATCTTGGTTCAGCTCCACATGGTCGGTGACAAATAGTACATTCAGAATCTAATGGTAAATTACCACGTGTCCATTGATGTTGAAATTCTTGCTGTGTACTTGTCATATGTTTACAATGAAAAAGACGTCGAGCAGGACGTACACAACGTTCGTGTAAATAAATTCCACATGATGAACAATGAAAACCACTTATTAAAGTTGATGAACAAACACTACATAAAGATGGTTGTATAATATACTCATCAAATGGCCATAAATGATGAACGTCGTCAACAAGACGATGTTGATGAAAATATCGTCGACGGCGTTTTGTTAAACAAGAAACTATAACAATGAAACCAGTTACAATTGAGCAAAATATTCCAATAGACCAATAACTATCTGTTAATACTTGTACACGCATATTCTATTATGAGATGTTAAATACATCTGAAATAAAAGAAATGAATATAATATCTGTTAGATACATTTAAAATAAGAAAAATATTAAAACAAAAAAAAACAATTCTATTTTACAAAATGTGTTTAATCACATTTTAAAGATGGATGTTCTCGAAGAAACTCAGTTAATTTTTCATCAATCATTGATGTTGATTGTGTATAAAGAAGTTCAGTTATTAAATCATTTGCTTGATGTAATTCTTCATTATCTTTTAATAATTTTTCATAAACATCAAATCGTACAAATGGTTCAATCGAATTACTATGTGATTGCACCTCACGTTGATGTCCATAATTTGTTGATGAATTACGATTTTTTTCACGTTTTTCTTGTATTTCATTGTTTTTATTAATAAATTTTCTTACTTCATCAACTGTTACTTCACCGTTAAATACACGTCGAATATGATTCGGTTTAACTGATAATGATGTCGAAGATTGTGTTGCATTTTTTGGTTGATGAAAAAAATGAATAATTAAACCCATATCTTGCATATCACTATCATCATTTGCAGAATTATTTTCTGATTGAAAACTTTGTTCAACCGTACGAAGAATATATTCAGCTGGATCAGGTGATTTTATTGATTCACGAAAAAGACGAATAAAATCTGATGGAATTTCATTTTCAGGAATACGGGTTTTTAAATACATCTTATAGAATTTATCCGTCATCAGAACAAATGCATAATCTGTTGGAAGAAGTTTAAATTTAGAAACTTTTGGTTCACATATTAATGGATTACATCGTGCTTCATTAACATCATTAGCTGATGCTGCTGATGATAGTAATTTTTCAGATAATTTTCTATAAAATAACACCATATATGTGTACATATTAAATATAAAGATAGTTTTTACCCAATACATCGAGTAAATTTTGAATGGTTTTTATCAAAACCTTCATGTTTCACTTGATTAACATCAACATCAAGATTTTTTAATCGACGACATTCGTCCTCATTATCAATTGTATGTAATGAACCTGTATGAAAATATTGTGGACGCTCCTCATCTATAATCAAATCACCATTATTATTTGATATAAGAAAAGCTCGAATAGTTCCTAATAAAAAAATCACATAGAAAATAATCTTTAAAATGAACATACAAACCAACGTATGCAAGATACATATACGATTGTGTAACCGTGGTTGCAAATAAAAATGCACCAGATTCTGCTTCATCCAATGAAGGTAAAAGCTTTTCAGCTGCACTGACACTTGAAGGTGCCGATGTTATTTTTTCTTCTGCATGATCAAACGTCATTTGTAATAAACGATTTTCAATTTCATAAGAAACATTTTGCATAATATCATTTATTTTTTCTTTATAAGTATCATCATCGAATGATACTTTACTTAATTGTTCTACTAACATATTAACACAAACATCTGATGCAAGCATACTTGTACCAATTGGATCAACAAGTGCATAAATAGCCATTGCATTATCATTTGTTCGTAGACGACATACACGTGGTACAGTTGCACGTTGAGAACTATTTTCTACAGTATTTTCATTATTAGAAGAAGAAGGATCTTGTTTAGTTCTTGTTGCTACAAATGTATGTTGACATGGGATAAAATTTGAAAGATTACTTGAAGTTGTACGAATATTTGTAGGAGTAGCAGCAGCAGCAGCAGCAGAAGATGCAGCCATCTAAAAACTATAACATATGTCAAGTTGAGTATCCTTTTGTTTTGATTGAGAGAAAAAAGAAAAGAAAAGACATTTGAACTTTGAAATAGCGTTTTTGAAGTAACAAAGAGCAACAGAAAGAAAAACAAACAAAACAAAGACAACAAAACAGAAGTATCATCGGAATGATAATAAAAACTACGGTAAATAAAACATGAAGAACATAAATACAATGAGTACCTTTATATATAAAAAAATAGATTTTTTTTTTAAATTTTGATTGCAATCACCATAGTTTTGGTAGTTTTTGACTGACTAGGAGGAAATAGCAAAACAAGAAATACATGCATATATCTATATATATAAATCTCAATTCAGAGTCTATCACCGTCGGAAAAAAAATGAAAAAAAATATTTATAGTTCCGTATTCTTTCTGAGACATGTTTTGAATGTATGCTCGAGTCGATAGATGCTTGTCGATAATTGTGTAAAACCATTTATAAGTGAAACAAGTTCCGAACGTTGTAATTGTATTGGACTTTGTGAAAAGAGTATTTTCAAAGTTGTACCTTAAAAAAAAACATATAAAATAAATTCTTTGTTTTTTCTTCTCTGTATTTAACTTTACCTAATGCTTGTATTTGTAATTTTCCCCATAATTTACATTTATCACATCCAACACAATCCATAATTCGACTTACATTACGAAAATGTTCTTTAAATTCAATTTTTAATTGTTCATTTTTAAATAAATCATTTTCATTAAAATAATTAGCAAAAGGTTCAATTTCTTTGAATAAATTATCTGATAATAATTCTTTTGTATGTATATCATCAGTTTGATTTCCAGTAAAATATGTTTGACTTTGTAAATAATCACGTGCTTTATATATTGCACGTAATTCAATTAAATAAATAAAATAAAGATTTTTTAACCATGCTGGTCCTTCATTACCAGTTGTTTCTGGATCAAAACGATGTTTAAATTCATCAAGATTTGGTCCCCATCGTCCATCTGAACGTGAATAACCACCACCAATTATAGGAAAAAAATATTGTGCACATAAATGTATACTTATACTTGAATGAAGACCAGAGATAAGACGATAAAATGTTCGACCTTCAAGACACATTTTATTTGCATTTAAACGTTTTTGTCTTAGATTATAATACGCTTTTGAATCAGGTAGAAAAAAACAATTTTCATTATAAATTGCTGACCAAATTGTTTGCGGTGATACACCTGTATAACCAGTATAACGTTCAATATTGAGTAATAAATCAATATATTCTAAATCTAATGATGTTTCATCATCAACATCACAAAAATTTTCTGATTGCATATCATCAAATTTCATCCATTTTTCGATAGTTTGTTTATGTTCAGCACTTAAATTTTTATTAACTAAACCAAGAGATGAATTTGTATCAGCTGGTGGACATTGTTCTTGTGGATGATCATCTTGTTTATTCGGCATTGTTGCTTGAGTATGTTTATTACTATTGAATGCTTCACGTAATGTTTCAGGTAGCTTTTCAGTTGGACATGATTGTATTGCACATGTACGAAGTGAACACTGACCATGATCAGGCCAAAATTGACACTTCTTTTTAAGATTAACAGGATAAAATCGAAAATAATTTTTTTTAACAATCTTTTGTAATAATGGATATAATCGTTCATTATTTAATTGATTTAAATCTGATATACGACAATCACAATCATCAACCATATCATTATTACGTGATAATTGACATTCGTCATCTGTCACAACTATACTTACATAGTAAGTAGCAATAAATACAATAATAAATAAAAACGAGATTTTTAAAGCCATTTTGTATCTGAAGAAAAAGAAATCTGAATGAATAAATTAATAAATTCTAGTTGTATTCATGTGTATATATATTAAATAGACAGAACATGTAACACGACGTGTCACTTTGTAATTCTGATTCATATATGATAATAATTTGTAATGCTACATTGAATATAGAACAAATGAGACTATCCAATCATTATTGTTCACGACATATTAGTTTGGCATTGTTAACAACGAATCAAGATTAAATATATACGTCTTGAAATTCATCATAGCGCTAGAATTTCATTCGTTATAAATAAACCAATAAAAACTAATATTTAATCGCAGACACTTTTATTTTTTCTATTTGTTTAAAGTCCATTTTCATTTTTTTCCTACTCAATTAAATCTCTAACGAACAAGTATACAAATTAAACATGTCATTTACATTTGTTGCCTTTGCCTATCTAGCGGCACTTATTCTTACAGCTTTACTTATCTTTTTTGCTATATGGCATGTAAGTTTTTATTTTTCTATTAGAAATACTTCATTATTTTTTTTTCTAAATACATAGATCATTGCATTTGATGAGTTAAAAAATGATCATAAAAATCCAATTGAACAATGTAAATCATTAAATCCATTGATCATTCCTGAATATGGTACACATATATTTATCAATATTTTATTTCTACTCGGTGGTGAATGGTTAACATTATTTTTTAATATGCCATTAATTGCATATCATATAAATAAATTTCGTACACGTTCAATTATGAGTGGACTTGGTATCTATGATCCAACAAGTATTATGAATGCTCATACATTAAATTCTGCACAACGTGAAGGTTGGATTAAACTCGGTTTCTATATGATTACATTCTTTTATTATCTTTATGGTATGATTGCTGAATTAATTCGTGATTAAATATATGACATTCTTTTTTTAATCATTAAAAATGAACTTCATTTATTCTTTTCCTTCTTTTTTTCGTTCTCGGTTTATATGTTTTATTATAAAATAAAAAGACACACACACACACACACACCTATAGATTAAAATATTTCTATTGATGTTTGTAGATGTTCAATAATCAGTCTAGTTATTTTCTTAAATTAACATCTCAGCCAATTGTTTTTGAACCAATAAGTAATGGTACAAGTGTTTTCTATGACAAAGATAATCAACAATTATTTTGTGTTCGTGGTTCAGGCGCTATGGGTAAGGAATAAATAAAAATAATTTTCCAAAAACATTTTTTTCAGATAAGTATGTCATATGAACAAGAAGAAAATACAGATAGTTTTCGTTTTACTCGACGTAAAAAACAAAATCGTCGAGTTTTATCGAATAATTCAACACACATAGAAAAACAAATAACATTTAATCAAGAACAATTATTAAAAAATCTTGAAAATAAAATAAATATTATTCGTACAAGTTATTTTTGGTTACAATTTCATGACTATTTTCTTCAATGGATTAATCGTCAATTAACATCAATTGATATCTTATGTTATGGTCTTGGACATATAAGTCAATCGATATCATCACAATATCAATATGCATTATTAAAATTAATTGAAGAAATTTTTCAAAATAAAATTCAAACTATTTATCTTTATGATCCTATATGGACAAAAGATGAATATGATTATCTTCGATTAGATAATAAATATTCAAAATATGAAATTTTAATTGAAAATAATCAAGCATATCAAACAATAAATCGTTCATCATTTATTTATATACCATTTTGTTCAAAACCTATACATAATAATTTACTTTATTCAAATTGGAATAAAGAGAATTTAAAGAAAATATTATTCTATGGAAATAGTTTTGAAAAATTTTCTCATGAAGTACAGTTTAATACGGGAAAATATTTTTATATTTATCAAACAACAAGTTTTCTAACGGAAATTTCATTACCGTTATTTGAACATTATACAAATACATTCAATGAACAAGTCTTAACATCATTTGATCGAACGAGTATTCCATTGATAAATAATGAAAAAAAAATTATTGAAAATAAACGAGAAAAAAATAAGATAATTACTAAACAATTAGAAAAAATAACAATTGAACAAGTTATAGATGATATTTGGTTAACACATATTAAACCAGTTTATTCTAATGACGATGAAATTGTTGTAAGCTCTCATTATGATACAAATACATAATCTTGTTCTTTTGAAAATTGAAAAAAAAAAGATTGTTTGAAACAAATAAATATATATTTTCTTTTGTTTTGTTTTAGGTGTAACTGTCAAAGGTCATCGTCATGAACAAGCTTATTCATTTCGTTTAGAAGATAAAGGTGCTATACAATCTATTAAATTCAATCCTGATCTATCCGTATTAGCAATAAAACGTAATTCAAATTCCGTTGAATTTCTTAATTTTGCACCTATACCACAAACACCTTTATCACCACGTACATCAATGTCAAGCACAGCTGTAATACTTCAACCAGATACAATTGAATATTCACAATTATCAAAAGCAAAAGCAAGTAAATTATATGATTTTAATTGGTTATCTGATAAAGAAATTGTTTTCATAACGGATCAATCTATTGAACATTATTTATTAAGTTCAGAAAAACGTACATTACGTCCACTTAAACATCATTCAATACCAAATATAAATTGGCCATTATTTTTTCGTGAAATGAATCTTTTACTTGTATCAGCTGGTTCACCATCGGGTAATTCATTAGTACCATTTTCATTTCATAAAACCCAACAACAACAATTAATTAAATTACCTAAATTCGATGTTGATTTACCACAAGCAACAGCTAGTACACGATCAAATTCTATAGCATCAAATTCATCAACACAGTCAACAAGTAAACGATGTTATGAACTTACTGAACGTGATTGTATGCTTGCAACTGTCTATGGAAAATCATATCTATTAGTTATTCGTCAATTATTTCGAGTTGCTGGACAAGGATCAGTTGAAGTCGTACTCTATCAAATAGAAGATGATCATAAACCTGCACAAAAACGTCATATATTACGATTAAATTTACATGGTAAATGTGCATTAAATGTTGTTGATAATCTTATTTTAATACATCATCAACCAACAAAAGCAACATATATTTATGATATAGAAGAAAAATGTACTTCACAATATGATGGTTATCAAACCATTCATGAACCATTACTTTCTCAACTTTCAATACAACCAGTTAATGTTAATTGGCAATTACTTTCATCATCGATATCACCAACATTAACAACAATTGAACTTTATTCATCGAATTGGATTGTTTTTCTACCGAATGTTATTATTGATGTTAAAATGGGTTGTTTATGGTATTTATTAATTAATTTAGATTATTTACTTGATATTATAACAGATCGTTTACTTTTAATTGATATTTTATTAAGACGTGCAAATGGTAAAGCATCAATACTTACTTTATTACGAACATTATTAACAAATATAATTGCACCCGTTGAAATTGATTCAAATAATACATCAAATATAAGTCCAAGTAATGTACTTGATTGGTGGATTGAAATGATTGATCGTATAAATCGTGTTTTTATTGAAAATTCACCAAATCGTCCGTTATTAGATCAATCCGATATATATTCAGTACTTTCATTATTTTCAACCATTGTATCAATAACATCAATAGGAAATTCAACAGCATATCATCGTTCATTATCGATTGCATCTAATGATACAACATTAGATGATCAAGATCAGACAAATTCATTAAAATTTGCTACAAGTATTGTTATTGAATATATTCGTTCATTAATTGATTATAATATTCCCGTGCAATATTTTATTTATGAATTACTTGTTAATTTACTTGTAAAAAATAATCAATTTTTTCAATTACAACAATTAATTCAATATCAAGTTTTAACAGATTCATTACAATTAGGTAAAAATAATTTTTTGTGTCCTTAAAGAATCAATTTGCTGTTTTTTTTCTAGCTTGCTTGCTTCTTTCGCTTTCGAATAAACAACAACCAACAACTCAAATAGCACTTGATATGCTTAAACGTTTAACAAATGCTAACGAAGAAATTGTTGAAATTCTTCTTGGACATAATTATATAATTGAAGCACTTCATTTTTGTGTCGATCATTTGCCATTAACACGAACATTAGCACGAAAACTTTTAGAAGCAGCAATAAAATCTGATGAAATTTTATCATCATCAACAACAACAACAAATCAGAAAATATTATTTTTTACTGTTTATACATTTTTTGAAGAATATTTTCAACGAACAACAACAATAAGTGCATTAGCTCAATCAACAAATTCAAATGAACAAAAAGATGAACTTGAAATGTTTAAAACATTATTTAATTCACATTTTCGTAATCAAGAATCAGATGTTGCTAATATTCAATGATTAATTTTATATTTTCCATTCTATTTATTTTCTTCTTGATCATATTTATGTGATTGATATTTATGTTCTCGATTATGTTTTTTCTTTCCATTGTTGTTCTCTTTTTTTAAGATGGAACGAAGTAATTTTAGATTACGTGCAATTTTACTTGACATCGATCAACAATTAACTAATGATGAACGTAAAAGACTTTCGTTTCTTATTGGTTGTGAAGATGCTCCACGTCGACTTATCGATACTGTTGCTAAAGATGGTTCAGCATCGATGACTGACATATGGGAAGCATTATTTGATCGAAGAAAAATTACTGCTGATAATGTCAATTATCTTATTGAACGTCTTGAAAAAATTCAACGCCTTGATTTGGTACAATTGCTTAAAAAATATAGTCCAGTACCATTTTCATTATCAGCTACACCAACAGCAGAAAACAGAAATGAACTAGAGCAACGTGCAGCTATGTCGAATCTATTTAATCGTACTGATCCGCAGAACTATTCTTAACACCCTATTATTTTCTTCAAAATATTTACCATATTTTGCTTAAGTTTGTAAAAGCATAAAAGATAGTTTTTATTGTTAATGTACGTAAATAATGTTACATATTAAATTACTCTTGAAACGCATGTAAATACATTTTTAGTCTTTAATATCTATTGATTAATCTTGATAATAAAATGGTTTTCAATAGATAGGAAAATTGATGTTTTATTTGTTGAACAACTGCTGCTGGAAGATCGACTTCTCTAATATTAACTCGTAGACAAGAGACGTTT